AGAAATGAGATCTTGTTAGCACTAAAACTTCACTTAAAAGTATTTATCCATTAGTACCATAAGCAAACCAAAGGTGTCATTGTAGAGACTTGGAGGAAAGGACCTCACTTTGGGAAGAGCCAATATCAGGAACTAATTCTCAGATCAGAATGTGGCTTGAATAGAGGAGAGTAAGAGAGTATTAAGGCACATATGCAGCAGGTGATATAGAAACAGCATCTGCAGGAGAAAGCTCTTGATGACCCATCTGAGAGGGTAGAAGTCAGTTTATTTATCTTGGTCAACTCAAACTCAACACAAGAGATAGTCCAGAAGGGAAATGAAATAGAGGAAAGAAGTGGAGATTAGATTTTTTTTATGTTATCATCTGATTTTATAATATGTAGGCTCTCTGAATTTTTTTCACTGGAGAAAATTAAGTGCTCTTGGGCCCTGTAAGAACCTTAGGATAAGAGTGTGATCAACCTAGCCTTAAAGATTCAGTCTCTGGGCCGGGCGCGGTGGCTCAAGCCTGTAATCCCAGCACTTTGGGAGGCCGAGGCGGGTGGATCACGAGGTCAGGAGATCGAGACTATCCTGGCTAACATGGTGAAACCCCGTCTCTACTAAAAATACCAAAAAAAAAAAAAAACTAGCCGGGCGCGGTGGCGGGCGCCTGTAGTCTCAGCTACTTGGGAGGCTGAGGCGGGAGAATGGCGTGAACCCGGGAGGCGGAGCTTGCAGTGAGCCGAGATCACGCCACTGCACTCCAGCCTGGGAGACACAGCGAGACTCCGTCTCAAAAAAAAAAAAAAAAAAAAAAAAAAAAAAAGATTCAGTCTCTGGAGCCTCTATGACAGTGATGAAGACCTGTTGGCTCCATGTGTTATCTCAGTGATTAAGGCTTGCTTCTTTCTCAAAGGTCAGGCAAACTTCATCCTACTGTAAGTTTAGCCTCATATGCAGGGAAATTGTTTAATAGAGCCACTTATCTACCTGTATGGGGTGAGTACAAACAAGTGCTCAAATCATTATCATTATTTTCCATGTTGTCACTCATGCAACCTTGCAAAAATTTTCTGTGGGCTGGTAAATCTTAGTACTTATCTGCAAGGCTACTTTGTAAGCAGCAAATCTAGTGTGATTATTACACTAATACTTAAATCGATACTTCATGCTTGTAGTTCTCACTCCAAGATATTCAGGTGAAAGTTGGCATTATATGGAGAATGGTGGGGAAGGTATAATTGAATAGAAAAGGATGGGAGAAGAACAACACTGTCCTTATAACCATTGCATTTGGAAAGAGACATTTAAAGGAAAATCTACCAAAACGATGACTTTAATGACAAGGAAAGATAGCTCCACTAGATCCCCTCTGTTTACACATGCTATTGTTTCAGCCCATGATGTTTTGTTTACTTTAGAAGGAAATATTTTACCCCCTCTGAGATAATTAATTTTTGTCAGCTTCACTGTTTATAAGGGAAACTGAGAAACTGTTAATTGAAATACAGAATGAGTCAGTGTTTCCAGTAATTTTTGGCAGCATTCTAATTTGTGTCAATCCCAGCCTAATTATTAGATTTTTTGGAAGCAAAAAGCATATTTGATTTTTCTCTTACTGAATTTGTTCTTCCTTTTTTTATTGAAATATGTGCTGTCTGACAAAGGTCATATGATTTATGTCAAAGTGAGGTGAACTACCCATACGTTTGAAACACCGGAAGGCTTATTGCATCATGTTTGGCTCTTCACTGCAGTTCAATATTTAGAAGGCTCTTTTCCTCATTGCTACTCCCAGCCCCAACCGGAAAATGTGATTCTTGCAAAGACCTTTTAGCTAGGATGAAGTCGAGGTATATGGCCCATCACTAATGACATCACTGAAGTAAATTTCCCAGAAGCCATCAGGGAGAATTCATTTGGAAATCCAATTGAATGTCACTTGCAAAGGGCAGCCTCCTGAAAGAGGTGACCAGTCATGCATTCCTGAGTTGTTTGTTGTAAAAGCATTAATCACCGCGAACCCATTTACTCCTAACGCGAACACAGTACATTATTCCACAGGAATTCTGTTCCAAATGATTGTTAATGTAGAGGACGGGAGCTGCTGATTGTGGGCAGGGTTAATAAAATTCGTCAGATCAATGGCCAGTATAATGGGCTTGTTAATGGTTTTTAATAGAGGTTGGATCTTCCTGGCTGCAGCAGAGTGAAGGCTGGGAGAGAGAGGCAAGTGGCTGTGCAGGGAGACAGCTCCATCTCCTGCCTGCTGAGGTGGCCTCTGGATGAAGAGAGCAGCCCTGTTGGTCACTGAGCATCAGCAGGGCTCTGAGGTGGCCTTGGCTGGGAACGTAGGCACCAGCTGTGGGCTGGGGAGGGAGCCCCGGGGACAACCATACTCCAGTAGCTGGCACGCCATAGCCTCTTGCAGACCCAGGCCAGAGTCCATCTAAACACCTGAAGCCATGGATATCCCGGACCCTTGCTTGCACCCCACCCTGGGCCCACCAATGAGATGAAGGACAGCAGTCACACTGATAATAGTGACAACTCTAGCAAATGCTCACGGAAGCTCTCCAAGGCCAGAGACCAAGCATATTCCACACACTCACCTCAATCCCCATAGCAGCCTCCCCAGAGATATGTACTATTTATTGAACCCATTTTATAACTGGGGAATGTGAAGTTCAGAGCGATTTGGTCACTAGCCCAGGGTTAGATTAGAAACCGTGTGCCTTTAGACGCCGTGCTCTTTTATTAGAGGGAGGGACACAGAAGCTGCAGCCTAAAATCAGACTGAAGGAAGACGCAAGGTGTGATGAGGGCCTGGGAGCCTTTCCATTTGTTTCTCCAACCAGTCAGTGTGTTCAGGAGCAGCCCTGAGCAAATTATGTAAAAGCTATGGCTTGTCTGCAGTGCTGTTTCTCTAGGCGTTGTCACTAAAATTCAGGGTGCCCAGGGCCCTTGAGATGCCCAGGTGCTCTGGGCCACCCCACTGTGGCCTTGACCAGGACACCCTGAGAGGTCCTCTTCACCCCATGCTGCCCTGTACTTACAGCTTAGTCCTTCTCACCCTCTCCTGCCTCACCAAAACTTGACCCATTTCTGGTCATCTGTGGGTCATCGTGATCTCCAACTGCCGTAGCCAGCTCAGCTCAGATGGGAGGAAGCTACTGCCTCCTGGGGATGCCTCCTGAGCACAAGACTTTTGTGAATGACAGCACAAGGACTGCCCAGAGCCAGCACCCAGAGTTCCAACTGCACTACTGGGCATGAAAACACAGTGACATTCCCAAGCTCCAGAGACTACCCTAACTAAGGGGCCAACATAGCTGCCCTGGGGCTCAGGAACAAGATGGGGCTGGAGCTTGCAGGTGGAGACTGTGGGTGAAAGAGGCAGCCACGAGCTGAGGAAATTGGCGAGCAGGAGTGAAGGAGGAATGACAGCTGGAACTACAAAAAACACAAAATACTAGCACTACTAGATGTTCTCAATAAGCTCAGAGGATGGCAGAAGGACTTCATAAACGTTATCAATAAATGAAAAGACATGGCACACATACTCCAGTGACCTTTCCCAGGTCAGCTTCTATAATCAAGATGGGAGTAGGCTGCAGCAGTCCTTGCATGTGAAAACACCACCATTCCTAAAGTTATTTCCTTGATTATGTCATTTAAAAAAATCTACTGTTAAGGGTTTGGAGGATGTAAGAAAACAGATGGTTATAGGGAGGGGGTGACGCAGGGAAGGAGGGGGAGGACATAGGGGTTTCAGAGGGAGGCTCACGCATACCCCACACACCACCCTCAGCAGGACTGAACTCGGTTACACCATGCTAAATGCAATAGGAAACGCAAAGATGGGTGGAACGTGTTCTCCAGCCCCCCAGAGCTTACGAATATACACCATAAGTGCTAGACTACATGGCACAGGATATAAATGCAGTCGAGTTGAGTGAGAGAAATTACCAAGAGGAAAATTCAGAGACAGTATCATGGAAGATTGCACTGGCTGCAAGAACATAGAGGATTTGAATCCCAGGGAGAGAAGGCACAGTCCACACAGGGAGAGGAAGCAGGCACAGGAGGCTGGAAGTGCGAGTGAGCATGCTGAGCACAACGAAGGGTGAAAGAGACACAACGGAGGGTGAAGGAGACGGCCTCGGTCTAACGGAGGAGGGGCGTGTGTGCACGTGGGTGTGTGTATGTGTGCACAAATGTATGAATGTGTGTGAGAGTATGCAAGAGTATGGATGTGTGCATGTGCATGTGTGTGCACAAATGTGTGAGAATGTGCCTAAGTATATGCGTGAGTGTGCGTGTTTGTGCACGAATGTGTGAATATCTGTGAGAATATGCATGAACCTGTGTGTGCATGTGCATGGATGTGCATGAATGTATGTATACAGGAGTGTGAGTGCGCATGTTTGTGCATGAATGTGTGAATGTGTGTGAGAGTATGCATGAGTGTGTGCATGCGTGTGTGTGTTTTAGGAGAGGGCCAGGCACAGTGGCTTATGCCTGTAAACCCAGCGCCTTGGGAGGCCAAGGCAGGCAGATCACTTGAGGTCAGGAATTGGCTGGGCTTGGTGGCACATGACTAATCCCAGCTACTCAGGAGGCTGAGGCAGGAGAATCACTTGAACCTAGGAGGCAGAGGCTGCAGTGAGCCGAGATCATGCCACTGCACTCCAGCCTGGGTGAGTGACAGAGCAAGACTGCATCTCTGCCCCACCCTGCAAAAAAAAAGTGGGGACGGGGGGCAGTGGGCAATAAGCAGGACCAGAGAGAGGGTGAGACACATTGCAAAGACCTTGGTAGCCAGACAGAGGAATTTGGACTAATGTGGTAGGCAAGAGGGAGCCGCTGTCGGTCCTTGGGCATCTAGGGAGCATGACCTGGAAAGATTCATCTAGCAGTGTGGAAGAGGTAGACTGGAAGGGAACAGAGAATTATGGGCACTATGGGCACCCCGGACACCCTGCCATTCTGATTTGCCATTTTCTCTCCTCCAGCACACTTTCATATTCCCCATCACATTGGTTGAAGTCGTCCTCAGGCCTCACTCCTATCCATCAAAGAAGACAGGGCTCACCTTGCTGGCTGCCGCCAACATTACTTACATCATCCGGTAAGAATCACATGGAGAAAGTCAATGCAGGCTTATCATTCAAGGCCCCGAGGGAAGTTCCAGAAATGTGTACTCTTCTGTCAGAATCCCTTTATCTTGGTTTAATAAGGATTTAATCATGTTTACATTTCCAGGTAAGAAGGATTCTTATTGTTTGATTTTAATGCTCATGGAAACCTCCCATGCACAGAAACATGCAGGTGTGCACACACACACACAGCAAGTCACAACTTCCCCTCTCTCTCTCTCATGAAGGGTTAATCATTGCAAAGCCATGCACCTTGCTTTCCCAAGGAAATGTTGCTCCTTGGTTCTGTCTTCAGTGAACATGTTCGAATGGCTGAGGGATCTGAGGCGTCTAACAATATTCTACCTAAAAAGGAATTTAGCGGGCAGAGCGGGCTAGGTTTGTCCACTCCTGTTGCCTGTTTCATTATGGGCTTGTTTGCATCAGCAGCTGGCATCAGAGCTCCTACAACACATTTGGGCAATGCATGGGAGACGATTTCAGTAGCTGGCCTAGATTTCATCATTCAACCACCTGGCAACACTCATTTTCAGAAATGCTGTCCAATAGTCTATAATCAAGGGAACGTGCTTGGCCTTTCACCCAGTGACTGAGAAACTTTTCTTCCATTCTATAACCTTCTCATCTGGTACCATGCTTTTGTTCCTACTGAAAGAAAGAGGCTTGCTGAACACAAGACCTGCAGATTGGAAGCTAATCAGTGTTCCTTCTCTAGACTCACACAAGCTATTCATGTGTGACAATCTGGACAACCCTCCGATCCCTATATGCGAGGAAGTTTAGTTCAGTTCAGTGCTCTGTCAGGGACGGAAGCCGAGAGAGAGTGCATTTCAAAGAACCTGGGCTCTAGCAGTGCCTGTTTTATGGACTCGACCAGCCTCTTTCTTAGAGCAAACAAACTTGGTGTCCAGACCTCATCTGCTGTTTTCTCCCTAACCCTTCCTTCCCTTTTGTGGTGTCTACCCCTCCCACCCTTCTGTGCCCCTCTTTCCCCGAGTACCCAAATCTTTCTTCTCCCATCTTGAAGAAAGCACTTGCTCAATAAATCTACCCCAAGACTCCGGTGCTCTATGTTGTTCTTCAGCCTCTGAAGCCTTTACATTTTAACAAAGGAACTTTCAGAGAACGAAGCTTAAGCTTGGGACCTACTGATAGTTGATGTCTGGAACACTCTGTTGAGAAGGATTCTGAGGCACTACCAAGAAAAATTTGCTTGATTATTAGGCAATGACTTTCAATAGCATGACAATGGACAGTGGTAAGATATATGCTATGTGTTTGCCATATCTGGCTTCACACAAAGGAATATATCCCTAAAGACAGAGTATCTGGGACCTGGATTGGGGTAAGAGTATAGACACATAAAGATTTTTTTGTTGTTGTTCTTGCGTGTGTTGAAGAGAAGCAAAGGAGAAGCTAGCTGATTATACACATGAATTCGTATGCTGTATCTTTTTTGGTGGTGTTTAACTTACTCTTTATTGCAAAGTGTAAATTTTGTAGTTCATATATATAAGTTATTACCTTTTACTTACTAATGTCTTCTACCTAAGGACTTGTAAGTTGATTATCAGTTCACATATCTGACCCCTGTTGTTCTTTTCCTTTTTGGGGACCAAGAAGATAAAAAGCACCTAAGGCCACTGCTGTTATTGGGGAAAATTGCAGTGGCTATAATGAGAAGTAGTAGCCAGGAGGTTGGTTTGTCAGTACCTGGGCAGGTGTCACCATGATGCAGTTAATTAGGAGGTTGAAGAAAGAAACGTGACAAGATGGGAACCAGGTACAAGTGCATCCTTTATCCATTCAGTCGTTCACCAGCTCCAGGCACTATGCTAAAATACGGAGGATACAGTGATGTTCAGGAAACCTGCTACCTTTAGAGGCTGCCGGGGAAAGAGGAGCGTATCAGACAGTGGGAGACAGGTGATAGGACTATAATAGGCATATGCCCAGGATGCTACGGGCACACAGAGAGATGTGCAGGACTGGCTTCTTAAAGGGAAGCACGGCCTAAGCTGAGGCCCAAGGTATGAGTAAGAATAGGTCAAAAGAGATGTGGAAAAGACCTTCAGGCAGAAGAAACAGCATCTGCAAAGGGCTGGAGGAGCTGAGGGTGTGGCTGAATTGGGGGACAGGGTAAAGCCAGGTTGTAAATCCACATCAGTGAGTTTGGACTTTTAAACCAAGTGCTTTTCTGTAGAAAAGTATTATAATCAGAGGAATGAAATGATGTGGTTTACGTAAGAAAGCTGATTAGAAAGACGATTCTGGCTGAAGTGTGGCCATCAGACTGAAGAGGAACAAGACAGGTAGACCAGTTGGTGGCATTGCTGGTAACCCAGGGGAGTTGATGTTAGCCAAATGATGCAAACATCAGTCAATCCACAAATAAAGTCAGAGAGTGTGAGCAATGGGAGGCAACTTAAAGATGACTTAGCACTGGAAAACTAAATCTCCAGTAGAGTAGATGACACGCCCATGGTCATATGGCAGAGGTGCAGTGGAGATGCAAATCTGGTACTTGAGCCAACTAAAACTGAGGTCTTCTGTTTCCGAATCCAGTTGTCTTTCCACTATGTTTATATGGCCAGGTATTTGTTCAGTTCCCAGTGTGTGCAAAACCATTCAGCTAAATGCTGGGTGGATGGGCATGCGCAAAACTTGACCTAGCTCTGCACTCTGAAATCTTTTTCTTTTCCTTTCTTTTTTTTTTTTTTTTTTTTGAGATGGAGTTTCGCTCTTGTTGCCCAGGCTGGAGTGCAATGGCACAATCTCGGCTCACCGCAACCTCTGCCTCCTGGGTTCAAGCAATTCTCCTGTCTCGACCTCCGGAGTAGCTGGGATTACGGACATACGCCACCACGCACAGCTCGTTTTGTATTTTTAGTGGAGATGGAGTTTCTCCTTGTTGGTCAGGCTGGTCTTGAACTCCCAAACTTAGGTGATCCACCCACCTCAGGTGATCCACCCACCTCAGCCTCCCAAAGTGCTGGGATTACAGGCGTGAACCACCACGCCCAGCCTCTGAAATCTTTCACGTGTTGTTCCCAGCTCTATTCTTGGATTAGACAGTAAAGTACTGGTAATGAAGGGAGTGGAGGGAAGGAATGGAGACCCGTCACCAGAAGGAATGTGACTGGGTAGGCTCCAGTGCCCAGTGGGGAGCTGAGGTGGTTTGGGATTTCATCCTTCATGAGAAATACTAAGTTGGTGTTTGGTCCATTAAGCCCCATTTTTGCTAGAACAAATCAAATATAGACACTTAAAGGAGGGTTTTTGATGTTGTCCTGTTGATGGAAGCATCTCTATTTCTGTCCACACCCCGGTTAGAGGAGCTGAGACTCTTTGGTGCCTGCCATCCCCACCCTTACGCAGGTTCCAGGGCCCCTGGCTCCTCACAGCCACAGATGGCCATGAAGTTCTACAAACTGCGGATACCCATGGAGATGTTTTAGGGAAGTGGCTATGGGCCCGCTGTCAGATGTGCCAGTTTAGATGGTCAAATGGGGAAATAGCATAGCACGAATGAGGTAAATAGCATGGGTTCGGGCCAGAGGGAGCGTGAGAAATGAACATGAGTCAGGAAAACGGCACTGAAGCTGAGCTGGAGAAGCATTTCACTGCCGAAACCATGTTACAATGACCTAAAAATAGTCCCTGAGACCGAGGGGACCGCCTTACATGTGGTGGTTGCTTTTAGTTCTTTTTCAGATTGCAAAATTGAAGAGCCGTCCCTTAAGTGGGAAAATAAGGCTTTGCAAAATAGTAATGACTGCAAATCTTTCGTTTCCTTTGGAAAGCATTAGTCACCTTTAAATATGGTAGCTTGCTTATTCCTCCCTTCTGTCTTACCCCAAAACACCTCACCTAGTTCTCCCTGAGGCAGTGGTGAGGAGCAAAAAAAAAAAAGAGAAATGTTTCTTCTGCTGGTTTTTATCATTCTTTTATTGAATAAATATTTTCCCTAACACATGGTTGGTCCTGCTCAGAAAAGCAGTGTTATATAAGACCAAGCTTCAGCCTGCAGGGGGTTTATCCTTAGTAAGTGGAGGTAACCCATGCATACAAATTATAAGTACAGAAGACGGAAAGTGGTAAAACATCATTAAAAAAAAAAGAAAGAAAGGAAAACAAGGAGTGACAAAAAAGGAAGAGTTTGCATCCAGCTGAGCAGTGTGGGAAGGGCGCTGTGGAAGGCATGCATTGGATCTGAGCCCTGAAGGACCGGCAGGATTAGAGCTAGAAAAAGTGAGAGCAAGTAAACAACAGGAGCACAGTCCCAAGGCCAGGAGAGTGCAGAAAGTGTGAGAGCAGGGGTCAGTAATTCTCTTTGCTGGACCTGTTTGTGAAAGAGACTAATGAGAAATATCCCTGGAACTATCCACTCGTGGAGGCTTGCAGATGGCAGACTACAGGAGGTTGGACGTAGTATAGACAATGGGAGCATTTGTTGTTGCTGTTGTTTGTTTGTTTGTTTGGAGTGAAAGCAAGGGTGAGCAGTATTAGTAACTTGGCCAGCAAATTATGCTTTAACATGTCATTCTTGACAATAGCGCTTCAAATAATTTGGAGTGACAAGAGATGGGAAACAAAATAAAATATAAACCAATATAAAAATAAAAACTAGCCAGCATATTATGTAGTTTGATCACAATGTCTTATTTTTTATGAATGGTTATTTCATAGTTCCAGTGATACCCCCAAACACCCTTCTGCTTTGGAGGTCTTGGTCCAATTTTCCAAGACCTCCATCCCTAAGGAGTTCCAGTAATCTGCTGAGTGCTCACACATGCCCCTGTTGTGCACTGCACCACCCATGCTGTACACTGTTCTGAGCATTGTTCTTACACACAGATGGCAAAACCATAATCCCCACCAGGCCCAACATCCCCACCTGGCACAGTGTTAAGGGTTAACACACCGTACCCACTGCGGGTGCCAACATTGTCATTACCCATCAATCCCCTGT